AGGATCTCTGAACCCTTCATTAAAGATTTAAAAATATATATTTTTGTTGAAAATAGTTGTATTTAATATATTAAAAATTAAAATAATTAACTTTTCTAAAAAATAAAAGGTATGTGTATGTGTTATTGAAAATATTTGTATTTAATACATTAAAAATTGAAATAATTTATTTTTTAAATAATATTTTTTAAATTTAAAATTTTTAAGGAGTGTTTTTTATGTACTCGTTAGCAAGACCCAAAAAAATAAATAAGATAAAATATAACTACGTGGAGTAAGATGAATAAATTTAATTGAAATATATTAATAATATAAAAAAAATTATACTGTTAGTAAATCATAGTTGTTAAATTTTTATTAATATTTTTTTATTCACGTATAAAGTAATATTATAAAGAATTGTATAAAATATTTTATACTGATATTAGATAACAATTATTCTCAAAATGAATTGGCCCGAAAGACAATTAGAACAAAAGTTGGAAATAATCATTTGTTTAGTTATAAACAATTGTACAAGATAATATTTATTTGCTTGATGAAATCTAAAAACACTCTATAATTATATATTATATAACATTTAAGGATTAGTCCTCCATCTCATAATAATATCTCATTTGCATTTTTTTCTATTTTAAAGTATTTATCCTTTTATAATATTAATACATTATTTTTTATTTTTTTTATTACTATATTCTATTTATTAATTTTCATTTTATTCAATTATAATTAATAAGAATATTCTATTAAATAATATTAATTTTATTATTAAAATTAATTCATTTAATTATTTTTTTAAATTGCACATTGTTCAAATAAGACATTTTTTATGAAATAAATGGAGTAGTACTATAGGAAATAAATTAAACACTCACATAAAATCAATTGAAATTATCTTGGTTAGAGACACATTTATGAACACATTTATACTTATATTCTTAAAAACAATTAAAAAATTTAAATTTATTTAAATTTATTTTTTTTAATTGAAATTATCAGATAATGGTAATAAAGAAAAAGAGAGAAAATTTATTATTTTTTAATTATTTATTTATAAAATTACATATTATTTTTGTTTTTACATAAATATTTTTTTAATTAATTAGTTAAATTTTGCATCAAATTATAAAAAAATATTAAATATATAAAAGAGATGACTCTCATACCTGTATTAAGAATTTTGATAAATATAAGTGTCTTTTTGAATTCTAAACAATTTAACACATTGACACACTTCCCAACTAGATCACTTATAAACTAACTTACATATATAAACCAAATTAATACATAAACAATATAATACTAAAATTTATTTATTTTATCAAATAAAATAGAAGATATAAGACATATTAAGTTATATAAGACACAAAAATCAAAAACAGAATTAAAATATAAATTTGTTTATCATTCATTTATTACAAATTTAGAATTTACTCTTAAATAGAAAAAATGACTCCCTTCTATTCATGATAAATGACTCATTTAAAATAAAATAAAAGATTTATTTTAATTTTTAATATATTTTTTAATTTTATTATTTAATTAATTAAATTTTTATCATTCCTAACATATTTTTTAATAAGCTAAATATATAAAATACAAAAAGAAATTACAAAGAATGGAAAACATAACCCAAATCAGTCAAATCACGAAATTAACCCGAAAGGATATACATGAAGATCAAAAACAACAAAAGTGATTTAGTCTTAGAAACTAAAGTAAAAGCGCACACATGATAAACACTATCCAACGAGTCTGATTACGGACACGAAACCGAATAGCAAAAGAAAGAATCTAGTGTGGGCATTTACTTTTTAACATGGTGTATGAACAATCGGCCAATACGACCTGATTCACGAACCAACAACCTCTAGAAAAAAACCAGCAAGCAAAACGACTCTTTCGAGTCCATCTATCCAAAATCAAATTGAATGATGCAGATATAAATGAAATCAATCTTGTGTCAATCCTGAAGACTGAAGCGGATAAAAGGTTAGTGTCGACACAAAGAAGCAAATCAAAAATCTTGAAACCTGCAGATTTCAACAGATCTAAAGCCAATCAGAAAATTAAAAGCTCGGTATACCAACTCAGCACAAAAACCATAAACCTGCAAAAGACCTATCAGAGAAGGGCTTACACATTCAACGGAGCGACCACTGAAATACTGCAACTGAGTTGCAACACAAAACAACTGCCGACAAACTGAATGACAAACACCACAACTTTGGATCTGAAACTGTCGGATGTCAATCCTCCTGGAGGGCTCGTCATCGGAACCAAACTGAAGTAGAAAATACCAAATCTGATCAACCCAAACAAGGTGAAAAGTAGAACGAGAGACAACCTCATAGGACCAACCGTCGCCGGAAAACAGTGAAAAAATATCGAAGAAACCACGTCGGACCACCTAAGGGTGAGATGGTGGTGCATAAAAGATACCTCATCACACCACCAAGAAGCTAAGCTAAATGATAGTAACAGAAAAATTGGATTTAGGCCGATGAAAGGTGGGGGCGGCTGATAGGGGTGTTCAAATTAACTAATATAAAATAATTGAGTTTTTTCGGGAAAAAAAACTAGGTTTTTTTTTTTTAATTTGAAATTGAGTGTTTTCGAAAAAACAAAAAAATCTAATTTTTTTCGAAAATACGAAAAAGTCGAGCTTTTCGAAAATACAAAGAAAAAAATATTTTTTTTAATTCGAAAACATTGTGTTTTTGCAAAAATACAAAAATTCGATTTTTCTTAAATACTAAAAAAATCGAGTTTTTTTTAATTCGAAAAATTGTGTTTTTTCGAAAATACGAAAAAAATCGAGTTTTTTTCGTAAATACAATAAATCGAGTTTGGTCAGGAATACGAAAAAACGAATTTTTTTCTAAAATACGAAAAATCATGTTTTATCGAACATACGAAAAATCATGTCTGGTCGAAAATACAAAAAATCGAGTTTCGTCAGAAATACGAAAAATCGAGCTTATTCGAAAATATGGTAAAATCGAATTTTTACGGAAATACGAAAAAATCAAGTTTTTTTTAAATATGAAAAAATTGAGTTTTTTCAAAAGTATAAAAAATTCGAGTTTTTCAAATATACGAAAAATCGAGTTTTTTCGAAAATTCAAAATAAAAAACGAGTTTTTTTTAAATTTGAAAATTTGAGTTTTTTCGAAAATACGAGAAATCGAGTATTTTTCAAAATAAGAAAAAAAAATGATTTTTTCAAAAACATAAAAAAAGTCGAGTTTTTTCGAAAATACGAAGAAAATAAAGAACTTTTCTTGAAAATTCGAAAAATCGTGTTTTTTCGAAAATACAAAAAATCGATTTTTTTTTTAAATACAAAGAAAAAAATGAGTTTTTTTAAAATTTGAAAAATTTGAGTTTTTTCTAAAATACAAAATATCGAGTTTGGTCGGAAATACGAAAAAAATGAGTTTTTTCTAAAATACGAAAAAAAATACGGAAAATCGAGTTTGATCGGAAAAATGAAAAATCGAGTTTCGTCGAAAATACGAAAAAATCGAGTTTTTTCTGAAAATATGAAAAAATCGAATTTTTCGAAAATACGAAAAATCGAGTTTTGTCAGAAATACGAAAAATCAATTTTTTTTGAAAATAAGAAAAATCGAGTTTTTTCGAAAATACAGAAAAATCGAATTTTGTCGAAAATACAAAAAATCTATTTATCAAAAATACGAAAAATCGAATTTTTCAAAAATACAAAAAATCAATTTTTTTTAAAAATACGGAAAAAAAATCATTTTTTTAAGAAATACAAAAAATCGATTTTTTCTAAAATAAGAAAAATTCAATTTGTTTTCAAAAATAAGAAAAATTCAATTTTTTTGTATTTACGAAAAGAAATTTTTTTTTACAAAAAATACTAATTTAAAACTAATATTAATAAAAGAATTTTAAATCGTTATAAATTTATTTTTATATTTGAAATTAGTATAAATTAAAAATTGGTTATAAATTTTAAAATCAGTTATGAAATTTATAATCAATTATAAAATTTAGTTATAGATAAACCGAATTTATAATCAATTATGTAAACATATAATCATTTTATATAAATTGATTATGATAATCAATTATAAAAAAATGATTATAAATTAAATATGAATTAATTAAGTGAAAAATTCGTCCATAAGCATCCATAACGACGAAGGGTTTAGTTGTTGAAGAGATAGAAGAGAGTGTTCTACATTTTTTTATATGATTAGAGATATTATAATAAAAATAATAATTTCTCTTTTTTATATTTTTTTAATATTTATAGAAGGGTGGATTATGTGGAGGAAGTAATAAAAATTAAATTAAAAATAGGACAAAACCTAATCCATAAATAAAATATTAATTGATTATTTTTTAATATTAATAGATAAAATTTAAAATTAACTAAAATATTAATTGATAAGTTTTTTTTAACATTAATAAATAAAATTAAAAATAAATAAAATAATCTTACACTGACAATCAATCACTAATCATAATAATATATCCAATTATATCACACTTTTATATTTATTTTAAATTAATAAAACTAGAATGGCAATTTTTCTTGTCTTACACTAGACGACAAAAATTAATATAAAAAAAAAAACTAATATGTAACGATCTCCAGACAAATCCAAACTCAACGAGTTGCAAGTTAAATGGGACCTCTGCGGAAAGTATTTGATATTGCATTGAATCCCATCAACAATAATAACCCTCGGGAAGGAACCGTGAAAATCCAAAATCAAAATAAGCTCCATTACACTGTGCATTATAACAAACCCAGTCACATCATATCATATCCTATCCTATCACCATAGGCTCATAAAAATCTCTACAAAAACTAGGAGCTACAAATATTATTATAGCCTTTTTCCCTTCCCAACCCAAGATTTCAAAATAACTAATTAATTATAACAATAATAATCAAAATACCAAAGTTTTTTCACTCATTTAAGTTAAGCCTATTATTCTTCAGCTTCTCCCATTCATTCTCAATAAAGTGGGGCCCTCCGCGGATTTCCTTTCCTTCTGTTCATACTATTCACCGTGATTTCAGTTACCGGCGAGCAAGCAGGCCGACACGGTGACCGGAAAGTTGAACAACCACTTCTCTTCTTTCTCACTACCTCAGTAGTTGCAGTGCAAGCAAGAGTGGTTCTACAATCCACTCCACCATATCCACCTGAACCACCCGAACCAGATGAAGTCCGGTTCGAACCGACCGGGTCAAGAACCGAGTCAGGAGTCATTAAACCATCGTCGAGTCCAGAATCAGATAATGGCATGTAGTTGCACTCGAAAAGGTGGCCAGATAAAGTGCCCAGTGTTTTCACAAGGTGATTCACCTGTGAAAAACACACATTCGTCATGAAAAAATAATTATATCAGATTAACACAATTAAAATTTAATTTAAAAAATAGAAAATTTCCTAATAATATTGAGAATGTGAGAGAGGACCTTGCAAGAGAGAGAACAGTAATTGTATAGTTCTTGCAGACTTCTGTCACAGGTGCTGCACACATTGCCGGAGGAGCACTTCTTGGTTTGTAGTCTTTGATTCAAAAAGACCACTTTAGCACTGTTTGTTTTGTAGGACTGTAAAGAAAAACCCTAAATTATCATCCATTTTGGGAATTGAGATGAAAATTGAGATGAAAAGTATACATCTGAAAACATAAATTACTTAAATTACTTACTTGAATGTAAGAACAATCGATTAGTTTTGCAGCATCATCCATTCTGATAACATCATGATACACATATCTTCGGATCTGATGATAATAATAATAATAAAGAATTGAAAAATCAATAGAGATTTTGTTGAATGCAATTGATAAAGTAGTGTTTGAAATTGAGAAAATAATAAAGAATTGAAAAATCAATAGAGATTTTTGTTGAATGAAAGTGTTTGATTGAGAGAATGAAGGAACCTGCAAGAGTCTGTGAGAGGAGTGAGGAGAAACACAGTGAGGGCAAAGACTGATGCAACAATCCAAACAATATACGTTCTTTTCATTTTTTTTGGTTTCGGGATGAATTAAGCAAGCGTTGTAGAATTTATCGGTGAGGAGAAATTGAAGCCAGCGAGGAACTGCTGCAGAATAAATATACTGAGAAAAAAACAACAAAAAGATAACATATTAATGAATTTAAACAAGAAGAGCGGAAAAATGGAAAGACCGTCAAAAAAGATAACATGATAATGAATTTAAAAGGAGAAGAAAAAATGAAACAAATTTACCATGGTTAGTTAGAAGAAAATGAATTGAATTAACTTGTACAATAAAGACTAATGGAATAGAGGAAAGATAAAAGATGGAAAATGAAAAGATAAACAAATTAAGTATATATATATAGTAGTCACTCACCATGATGATGATGATTTTTATTTGGTTTGTAGTGTTTTAAGTGTGTGAGTACTGTTGATGCTAGGGTATAGTTATGGAGGAATGATGAGAAAAAGAGAGGAAAAAAAAACTGGATTTTGGGGAAAGGAAGAGAGAGAAGGTGAAAGGAAACGGCGGTGGCAGCTGTTACCAATGTAAGAAAAGAAAGAAAGAAAAGAGAAGGAAGGAAAGGATACGGTGAGGTAAGGTTGGGAGGATAGCCACAATTAAAGAGGATTTGTGTCGTACACTACACACTAGTGCTACTACGACGCTCTTAATTGTCACACGACACAAGCTACAAATGTGCTATTTGATTGACAAATATATAATGAAGGTTTTGATTCGATGTGGTGTGGAACCATTAACTAGTAGTACTAGAGTACTATCTTCTTTTTTTTTTATTTATTTATTTATTTATTTATTTATTTATCGTATTGCAATTATAACTTTTATGGAAAACTTTCATAAATAACAATTTATGTACATGAGAATACTATTCATCTCCGCGATTTATAGAGGATTAAAATTATTTGATGTCAGGATTTATTTTTAAATTGAATTAATTAATCTAGTAGGTTAAATATTGGTAATAAATTTTTTTTAACCAAAATCAATAATTTCCTACATTCTTTGTATTTTTGAATAATGTCGTGCTCATGTTAATTCTATATAAATTAATTAGTTATTTTATTACAATTTCAATTGTGGAAATTAAATATATGCTTGTAAAAGAAGGTTGTTTCTTTGTTAAGATTATATATATATATATATATATATATATATATATATATATATATATATATATATATATATATATATATATATATATATATATATATATATATATATATATATATATATATATATATATATATATATATATATATATATATATATATATATATATATATATATATATATATATATATATATATATATATATATATATATATATATATATATATATATATATATATATATATATATATATATATATATTGAATAAATAATGTATTTAGTCATTATTTTATATTAAATATATTAATTATTTAATAAATTTTAAAAAAAATTATTACTTATAATATGTCCTCTAATATATGTATATTGTTAATTTTAAATTTTCTATTATATTTACAGTTTCTTTTACAATTTAATATAAATAGCCTAAAGTTTAGAGTTTATTATTTTTCTTCTCAATTTTATTTTTGTATTTTAATTATAAGTAAATAAATAAATAACTTAATATATTTTTATATTATTTTATAATTATAAATTATAAATTATTTTATTATTACTCTGAGAAATTTTTTGTGTAATGACACATAATTATTAAAGTGGTTCACATGAATTTTCTCTAGTTTTGAGTCTAATTATAAATTTTATTTGTGGTTCACACTTCTCTCTCTCTCTCTCTCTCTCTCTCTCTCTCTGGATGTAATTCCCGTTGATCTCAATTCGCCGGAAATGACGAACAGGGCAAAGCAAATGCAAAGGGAAAAGCTCCCGTCGGGAAAAATTTCGACGGAAAATGCAAACGCGGTTATGAAGACGAAAAAAGTGGCGCCCTCAAGAGGAAGAATCGAGGAGTCGTCCACTTCTTCAAAGAGGAAGCAGACAACATTGACGACAGCGAAGAGAGTGACTACAGTGATTTCAGCGATGGTAAACAATCGTACTTCCTTCACATTTTTTCTTTCATTTTCTTCATGTTAGGGTTTCACTTGAAGATGTGAAAAACACAAGAAGGGGGGGTGAATTGAAAACTTGAAATTAACAGCTCAATGACACAGTATTTTTATCCTGGTTCGTTTGATCTCAAACTACTCCAGTCCACCCGTCAAGGTGATTTCGTCTCTCTCCAACGAGGTCTTAATCCACTAATCTCAACAAGATTACAAAAGCTACTTTAACAATTGTTAAAGTCTTCTTGAATACAACCATAGTCCGGTTAATCTCAAGGAACACTGTTTCAATGTAAGTATACAGGATATGTGTTGTTATGTTTCTAACAAAACTGTTTATCACAACTGTGATAAATTACACAGGATTATAGCTTGGAAATATAAAGAATATTGTTTGCAGCTTTGAATATGCGTGAGTGGTAATATGGAAAAATCGTTGTTGATTTTGAAAGCTGACTTTGTTTATATAGGCAGTGGAATGACGTTGATCATAAAGCATGTTTAATGTCATTAACACACTTTCCTTTTGGAGAAGATCTTGTCTGAAAGAAGCCGTTGGAATTGATGATGTCTTGAATGATCAGTAACGCTTCAAAATCTTATCTCCTTACTTGCTGATGACGCTTCAGAATATTGATGACTTGGATTGGTATGTTCTTGTTCAGAATCAGAGTTTACTTTGATTAAGCGTGGGTTCTGGTCATTAATCTTCAATGTATGTTCTGATTGCTTCAGCGTGAAGCTCTTATGGCTCATCTTCTGATGGATATGGTCAGAACTTCTGCATTCATAAAACATAATTTTTAGGTGCATATTTGTTCTTTGAGTTTATTATTTATTCTTTGTATTTGTTATCATTAAAACTCTAACCAAGGGTTTTAGAATCAAACTATATTCTAACAATCTCCCCCTTTTTGATGATGATAAAAACTAGATTTTTCAATTTAAAAATAAAGAATAAAAGGTTTAGGAGAAACTCCCCCTGAGTTGATTACTTCCCTTAAGTTCCTTGAGCATCAGAGTTTAACTGCATCTTTCATCAGAGTTTGTACCTGTTCAAGATTTTCAGAAGATAGAGGTTAAGTAGTCCAAAATGTTTGAGACTTCTGTCTCAGTAAACCGTTATTGAAAATATCTTATTTTCTCCCCCTTTTTGTCAGTTATCAAAAAAGGCAATATAATCAGAGCCAAAATAGTTGAATTATATTAAAAACAAGAAGCAATGATAAGTTCCAGAACAGAAGTGGTAAAAAATTAAGCGTTACAAATAAACAGATTTAAAACAGAAAAGAATCTAAGAGGGAGGAGGAAGACGTGTGAACAAGGCTTCCAACAAGCTCTTGATCCGGGTATTAGATTCTTCTTGTTTGCCAAAGATGCTTTTAATCTCTTTGTTTGTGTCCTCCTGTTTATCCAACCTTGCATGGATAAGAGCATTTTCTTTCTTCAACTCTTCCAGAGTTTACATGACTGAGGAAGGTGTTGGAGATTCTTCAGTAGTTGTACACTTCTCAGAGCATTCTGCAGCTTGTTCACAGTGAACCATTTCCTCTGATATGATCATCGCTTCTAGAGCAGCAGCCAGGGAGAGACCTTCTGATTCTAGTTGAACTTCATCTGAGGGATGATGCTCTGACCAGGGAGCATTATCCAGAGGGAGAATATCTTTCTTGAGCAGATGGCTCAGAACTTGGTCTTCAAAAGCCTTTAGCTTAGCACTGAAGTTATGTTGAACCTGTTCATAGCTCTGTTCCTTTAGCTTTAGTGTTTTAGAACTCAGCCAGTTTCTGAATTTTGTCCATATATAATCAGAAGCAGCAGGATTAGTCATCTCTAGACTAGCATACCTCAAAGAATTTATCCATTCATGTATCCCTGTTTCAAAAATCAACAAATTTGTACCAACATCTGATGTGGTTTCAGTTGGTTTAGGTTTGGGAATGGCAGTTTTGTGAGAGATAACATCTAGTCTTTCCAGCGCAATTGGATCAATGATAAGTCTTACATTGTCAGCTAGACTGCTATTGGATGAAGGAGTGGGAGAGTCAGGTATGATGATTGGACTGGTAGGGGAGTTTGGTGGTGTGGATTCCAGAGAAGAAGGAATTTTTGGAATATCATGGATGGTGAGAGGCATGCGAATGGCAAGTGGTTCAGTGATTCCAGGTATTGGGATTGTATCAGAATCTGAATGAGGTTCTTCAGATTGGTTTGTTGAAACATGGTGATGTTCTGGTTCATGGATATTAGAGGATTGATTCTCAGAAGGTTGAGCTTCTGGTTGTTGTTGTTTAGGTTGAGGTGATGGTGGATGAGGAATATCTTGTTGTAGAGAGAGAGGTTGTGGAATTGCTGGTGTGGTATCAGAGTTTGGATTTTCAGGGAGTTGAGAATTTGGATTTTGTGGTACGGGAGCTGAAAAGTCTTGGTCAAATGAGTAAATATCAGACAAAACTTTGGCGAGTTCTGGTTGGGTTTGTTCAGGATTTGGATTAAGAGAAAGGGAGTGAGTTTCATTCAGACCTAGAGTTTCTGATGGATCAAACCCTATGTCAAAGTCTTCTAAAGTTTGTGGAGTAGGATGTTTTGGTTGAGTAGGCATGGTTTCAGATGTTGATATATTTATTGATTCTAAAACAGCAATAGAGGAAGGATTACCTTTCTTTTTGCCAGCTTTTGGAGTCATTTGAGATGGTCCTTCTGCTGCAGCTTTCCTTTTCTTGGTCTTCTTCAAAACAACTTCTGGAGCCGTCTTATGCAAGTCCTGGATGTTGATTTCTAGTGCAGTACCATTTGCCTTACAAGCATCCATATATCTGACTATTATCTCTGGCTTGGAGTCAATCACAGAGAAAAGAGGAAAATCATCCAGAGGAATTCTTCTTGAAGTGATGGTTGAAAAAGAAGTAACGTTGGGTTCCTTCTTGATATTCTCAATGATTTTCATCTTCATATTTTTGCGCTCAAAGGCTTCCCAGCGGTTTCTTCCAAAGAGTTGATTTCATGAGCTTCAGTCAAATGCTATATCAGCCTATTCTCTGTCAAAATATCTGATATGAGTCTTCCTAAGGGTATCCAGTCCCTTTTGGTACGTTCATCTTCTCTTGTTTCCTTCACACTAGTTCTAAGATGATTAAATAGCAAGTGTGGGAGGTTTACCTTAGTCTTCTTGGCAATGAAATAGATCAGAAACTACTGATTAATGTTTATATAATCAGGAGAGCTAGTTGGCTTCTTGTGGTTGATACACCCCAGAATAATTCTTGCCCAAATTATATGGTGATCCTTCAAATCTCTGAT